TTGCCTCCAAGGAGCAGCCCGGTTTAACCCTCTCCAGGTTGAATCTGTTTTCTTGGCAGTCCATGGTACTCTCAATACTCATCTCCAGCACCACAGCTCAAAGGCATCAATTCTCCTTCTATCTTTATCTGTCTTAAATATTTTACAATTATTTGCTTGCTCTTGAAGTACTCTTCAAAGGCATGCCTTCCAACTCACTTTATCATTTCCTCCTCTCCTGGTACATGATATTTAACACTGTTTCTCAAATACCTCAGGCTAATGATTGTGCATAATTTATACTTTTGCCACTTGCAGAATCTTTCTCCTTTTCTCATTCTTCCCTTTCCATTTGTTCATTTCTCCCAAAATGCTCTGCTTTAAAGAAAATGTCCCCTACCTCGGTACATAAAATGGTCATCTTGCCCTTTTGTTGTGCCCTTGAGTAGGAACCTACTCACAGCCGACTCTTCAGCAAATGTTCAGAGGCTAGTAATTGCAGAGAAAATTGCCCATCTTTCTCCTGTGTAACAGCTAGTGAATTCACACTGTGTTCCTTTGGGTGGCAAAACATCTTCACTAGATCATTAGAGAGCTTATATGTGTATACCCTTTACACCCTAGACCTCCAGATTTCCATATATTTTGTGTCCTAGTGGGTAAGCAGTTGTATTTCCAACCTAAAGAAAGGATTACAGTTTGAATCCATCTGCTCTTCCATGGAAGAAAGATAGAAAATCCCTTCCCTTGTGATTTGTTGCCCCACAATATACGCTGCAGGGTCAGCTACAGGTCATTTTCAACTTGACAGCATATAACAACAACAAATATTTTAAAAATACACATGATAAAGTATTTATTAGATACGTATTTTGCAAATATTTCCTTTCAGTTTATGATTTCTCTTCTTCCTTTCTCTGAGTAATGTCTTTTCACAATAGAGGTGTTGATTTTCATGAAGTCCAAACTAAATTTATTTTTTCTCTGATGGACTACGTGAGTTTTGGCTTTGTAGCTAAAAAATTATTATTAAGAAAAACTCATCCACTTACTCACTGTTGGTGGGAGTATAAAATGACTATGAACAGCGGTAATGCATTTTCTCAAAAAGTTGGGAATAGAAATATCATTTGACCCAGCAATTCCACTACTGGTAATACACCCTAAAGAAACCAGCACTGCCACCCAAGCACATATATATACACACACCCATGTTTATTGCTGCTTTGTTCACAATAGCAAAGAGCTGGAAACAACCCAAGTGCTCATCAACAAACAAATGGATAGAGAAAATGTGGTCTATTCACAAAATGGAATATTATGCAGCACTGAAAAACAAAGAACTCATGAAATATTGCACAAAATGAGTGGCCATGGAGACTTTATGCTGAGTGAAATATCTCAGTCACAAAAAGACAAATATTGTATAATGCCACTACTGGATGGTTGTCTTGCGTGCCAGAGACGATGGCCTTGGAGACGGTGCCAAAGGACCTGCGGCATCTGTGAGCTTGTTTGCTGTGTTCACTAGTTAAGACTATAGATCAGTTTGAATATGATGGCTGCGACAATTGTGATACATACTTGCAGATGCAGGGTAACCGAGAGATGGTATATGATTGCACCAGCTCATCCTTTGACGGAATCATCGCAATGATGAGTCCAGAGGACAGCTGGGTCTCTAAGTGGCAGTGAGTCAGTAATTCTAAGCCAGGAGTGTATGCAGTGTCAGTTACTGGTCGCCTGCCTCAAGGAATCGTGCGGGAGCTGAAGAGTTGAGGTGTAGCCTATAAATCCAGAGACACAGCCATAAAGACCTAAGAAGATGCAGGATTGCTGGCATCTTTGCATCCCACATGCTGCCTCTGCCCTTTTCCGCTTGTGGAACCAAATGAGCAGAACTTCAAATCCTCCCAAGCCTCCAGCTTATGAGGCACACAAAGTGTTGAAAGAGCAGCACCATGTGTCCCTAGACCATCATACTTTTTTTGGGCAGGGGGAAGGGTGTGGGGGTCTAGGTTGTTAGGTTGACAAGAGTGACTGGAGGAGGAAATGCTGCTGGTTTTCCTACCCATAGTTCAGGGCTCCTCCTTTGCCTGTGGGCTGGACCTTGTGGGCCAAATGCCAATAAGCATGAGCACCTGAGAAGTTTAAAAAAAAAAACCAAAAAAAACAGGACTGACATGGGGATTGGGGGGAACTAAGAAAAGAGGGGATAAATAAGGTACATGGCATTGAAACATATGAGAGAACTGTATAAAAGGAATATATGATTAGGTATTATTTGTATGGCAAGAGTTCAGTATAAGGGCTGCATAATAAAGTGGTCAGGGGTGGGAGGTATTGTAGAAAAGAACTTTTTTCCCAAAGAAAAAAGTGAACTGGGGGTGGGGGTGGTAGGGAAGAAAATGTGCAAAAATGAATGAATGGAAATCTAAGTTCTTCATATACTTACAATAAAATCTCAATTAAAAAAAGAAAAAGCATCTGGATTTTTTCCCCATTTAATAGAAATTTTATAGTTTTCTATTTGCACCTGCAATCCATTTCAAGTTAATTTTGGGTGAATAGTGTCTGTATTTAGTTTTTTTGCATGTAGTCATTTCAACATCATTTGTTGAGAAAACTAAACTTCATTGACTCGGTAAAGAAAAGATTTTGAAATAATTCAAAAAAGCGACTAACCAAACAATCACTCGTAAACTTTACATTAAAATTATACCTTGAATATACCAGTAAGAAAGAATAAAGACTAATGTTACAGTGAGAGAATATAAATATTCTGTGTACATGATGAAGAGATTGAGATTGTTGACAGCTTCAGTTTGCTTGGTTCTATAATCAACAGTCTTGGTACCAGAAGCCAGGAAATTAAAAGGCTAATTGCATTTGAAGAGTCTGCTGTCAAAGACCTCTCCAAAATACTGAAAAGCAACATTGGTGCACCTGATACAGGCCATGGTCTTTGCAATTACTTGCTATGCATCAGAAAGCGGGACAATGAGTAGGAATGGTAGAAAGCGAGTTGATGCCTTTGAGCTGCTGTGTTGTTAAAGAGTATTGAATATACCATGGACTGCTAAGAGAACAAGCAGGTTTGTCCTAGAGAGAGTGAAGCCAGGCTGCTCTTTGGAGGCAAGGATTCTGAAGCTCCTTCTGACATACTTTAGACATGTTTCAAGGCAGGATCCGTCCTTGGAGAAGGATGTCATGCTTGAGAGGGTGGACTGATTCAGTGACTGAGGTAAGGAGGATAGGTGTGTCAGAGACAATAAGATTTACAAGGGATAGAGCAGGTTTTAGGGCTGTTGTACATAGGGTCGCTATGAGTCACAGACAACTTGACAGCACATAACAACAACTGTGTGTACATATTTAAACATATATAGGCATAACTTGTTTTATTATGCTTTACTTTATTACACTTTGTAAATATTACATATTTTATAAATTGAAGGTTTGTAGCAACCCTGCTTGAGCACGTTTAACAGCACTAGTTTCTCAACAACCTATGTTCACTTTCTGTCTGTGCATTACATTTAGGTAATTCTCAAAATGTTTCAAACAGTGTTGAATATGCATTGTAAGTAAAAGAGTATCCACAGTGCCAATATGTATATGAAATAGTATTAGATTTCATTGTTAATCAGGTAAATGGGGGGGTACATACTGTGAGCTGCAGCTTCTACTACACACATACACACACACACACACACACACACACACACACTTAAAAAGAAATAAAAAAGAGATGAATGACCTAAGCTTTTGCAAGGTTCTGAAACAACTAAAACTATTAAACTGTTAAAAATGTTAAACAGTGTGAATTGAGATAAATAGTTTGAAACACTTATTTACAATAATTAACAACTTGCATTAAGCAGATGATACAACCCTGCTTGGTGCTGCGAAGATCAAGGACTACAGCCTTTGATGTGGATTATAGCTCAACATCAAGAAAACAGAGATCCTCACAGGACCAAAAGTCAACATCATGATAGATGGAGAAAAGTTTGAAGCTGTCAATGATTTCATCTGCTTGGATCCACAATCAAAATCCTTGGTAACAGCAGTGAGGAAAGTGGCTAGATATTGCACTGGGCAAGTTCTCTCTAAGGGACATCTCTAAAATATTGAAGAGCAATAACATCAGTTTGAAGACTAAGGTATGCCTGATTTAGGCAATGGTCTTCTAAATCATCAGATAAGACAGAAGAATAATTAATGTCTTTGAGCTGTGGTGCTGGAGAAGAGTGCTGGAAAACAGATATGTCTTGAAGAAGGTGGGTGCAGCCGGTGCTCTTTGGAGGCAAAGATGGCAAAGCTTCATCTCTCATACTTTGGATGTGTACCTAGGTGAGGCTACTCCTTGGAAGGGGCATCATGCTTAGAAAGATGGAGAGCCAGCAAAGAAGAAGAAGAGCCACATGAGATGGACTGACAGTGAATTCAACATGGGTTCTAATGTGTCAAAGATGGTAAGGATGGCACAGGATAGGACAGAGTTCAGATCTATCACTCATAGGGTCACTATGAGACACACTTTACTCAACAACAACCCAACAACAATAACAAGATTACCAGAAATGAGCTCATCTGTGACATGAGTAATCTACCCAGAAACCCATACATGTGTATACTCAAATAGCTAACTGCAAAGATTATCAATATTTTGCTTAAATTTTTCTTTATTACTAACATTGGAACTTGAATAAACTAATTTACCTAAATATGAATATATTTCTCTAAAAAGTGGGAGAAATAGTATATATTTTATAGCACAATAAAGTAATGCAAATTAAAGTGTTTATAAAAGTATCTTGTTTTATATCAATTATAGAGTAAACAATACAGATTAATATAAACTCAACATTATTGTTTTTATGTTTAAAGACAAAAATTTTCACTTTTAGGTAAATAATATTATGAGTATCAACATTTCATTTTGCCACACTATTTTTATCATATTATGGAATAGATAACTCTTAACATTATGAAATCTAAAAATGAGCCTCTATGACCTAGACGAGTTCCTTATCTTTCTTGAAAATCTTTAGCACTCGCTCTCGAATCTGCTTGGTCCTCACCCCATAGATTACAGGGTTGAGGGCTGGAGGGACAACTACATACAAATTGGCCAAGATTATATGGATATATTGTGGAACATTGTGGCCAAAACGATGAGTCAAAAAAGAGAAAAATGCTGGTGTGAAAAAGGCCAAAATAACACCAATGTGGGAGCCACAGGTGTTCAGAGCTTTGAGCCGGGCCTCCCGGGAAGGGAGACGGAAAACTGCATAGAGGATCCTTACATAGGACAGAACAATAAGAAGTACATCCAATAGTAAGAGAGAAATATTGCCAAGGCCAAACATAATGTTTATTTTGATGCTGGCACAGGCTAGTCGGGCAATGCCCATGTGCTCACAATAGGTATGAGGGATGACATGGTGCCCACAGAAGGGCAGCCTCAGGAGGAGAAAAACTAGAGGCAGCACCATGTACAGGCTCCTCAGGACGGCAATGCCTGCGATGATGCCGATGATCTTGCTGGTGAGAATCATGGTGTACCGGAGGGGTTTACATATGGCAATGTAGCGGTCGAAGGCCATGGCCACAAGCACAATGCTTTCCATGGCAGTGAAGAAGTGGATGAAGAACATCTGGGCAAGGCAGCCTCCGAAAGATATATCCTTAAGAGTAAACCAGAATATTCCTAGCATTTTGGGGATGGTGGCTGTGGACAGGCCCAGGTCAATGGAGTCCAGCATGGCTAGGAAGTAGTACATGGGCTCATGGAGACTGTTCTCAGCCTGGATCACAAACAGGATAACAGTGTTCCCCAGGAGTGCCACAAGATACACAAATAAGAAGGGGAATCCAATCCAGATGTGCACATCTTCCAGTCCTGGGATGCCCACCAGGAGGAATGAAGAAGGACGAAACTGAGTGTCATTAGGCAATGACATTCTTCTCACCCGAATTAGATGTTCAGCATATGAGAGAATCAGTTGCACCTAACAATAGCAACAACAAAGTTAATGATTTTTTTTAACTTCACTTACTTGTTATTCCAGATTCCTGAGAAAACAGTGATCTTCTGTCCTTCCCTTTTGAAAGGATTAAAATAATTTGCCATGTTCTTTTAGTTCCATTTTTCTCTTACTTAATACCAGGAATAGAGTCCTTCTCACCCTGCTGCCACTTCTTCTACTACCACGACTCAGCATAAAGTGGGGAACACATAAGAAGAACATCTATTATTCAGTGAAAATTCACAATCAGGATTATAGCTAGAAATAAGTGAAAAATAAAGTTGGAAAGTAATATTTCTGCTGTTTTGTGTTTTAAAATACAGTTTTGCTTAATTTGTATCACTTATAAGTTTAAAACGCCAAATATTTCCATTTGAGAATGTAAAATCTTAAAAATGTAATATGTTTAAAAACAGACTTCATGTATGGATGTGTGTGTATGTATGAACAACTGAATACTAGAAGGTTTCATTTGAGAGTAGAGACAGTATGTGTGTATATATAATGGTAAAAAGTTGAGTTGTCAATCCTAAGGAAAACATCATATCTACAAGCTGCTCCACAGAAGAAAGGCAATCTCCCGCCACTTTCCAGCCTCTGAAAATCTGCTAAGAGATCAGTTATGAGTCAGTTCCAACTAAATAACACACCAAGAATCCATGCGTAAGATAATCACCATATAAAAGGTCTCAATTTTATGCTGCCTTAAATAGATGACATAGATAAAAGGCAAGATAGCAATGAATTTCAAAACCAAGTTTCAGAAAATAAACAATTTTGATTCCATCATAATTAGTTCTCTTGGAAAAATTATCAGATTTTTAAAAATTTTTATTTTACATTGGTTTGCAAACACAATTCCCATACATCGTATTTCACCCTAGCCTCCATTCACATTGTCTTCGATACAATCATTCTCATTCATTGTGTTTTCTAAAATTAAGCACCATTGAACTATGCTGACCATTACCCCATTGTTTCAGACCCCTGCTGCAGTGTAAAATAACTTACAAAAAGAATATTTTGCAGTTATTTTGAAATGTAGGTAATGAGTATATTTAATCTAGTTATGTTTCCTAGACATAAAAGGAAATACATACGATAAAAGTACTGTGCAGAGATGAACAAATTATAGCAAAAGGGACAATATTTGCTAAGGAAACTATTATCTAGATAGTATATCAATCATAGATGAACAGCAAGAAGCAATTTAGATATCCTTTACAATATATCCTTTCTAAGATATTCAACTTTATATATTCACTTCTTTCTAAGAAATCCCAATTTTGTTATGCCTTCAGTCACACAGAAAGAATTATTAAGTAATTTTGGTTTATAACACATATTCAAGTTAATTGGACATTTCTAAACTGACAATAAATTAGAAGCAAATATGAGAAATTACTAGTGGGCAACTCTATGGGTAAAAGTATTTCTATAGAAAAATAGTAAAATGTCTTGTGCACATTTGCACAGAAAATTTTATTCAAATTTGAAGAAATGTTTCTAGATTGGGCTTAAAGTACAATTGAGAGACACCCCTAAAATACAAACAAAAATCAGTAAACTACTTTCATCAATGCCTGCCACTTGACCCCTTCCCTACCTCCAAAAAAAATGAGCTGATTTGAAGTATATGAAAAAAGAATTTAGGAAATTCAAGTTTACTATATTTAAACATGGGCTATTAAGGTTTTTTTCTGGAGCTCTCAGTAGATGAAAGTTGAAGCTCTTAGCTTTTTTTTTTTTTGGTAATTGTAAAAACAGGGAGAGTAAAACATTCAGGTCATGTGGAGCATTCATTAAAACCAATTATGACAATCATGCTGTTCACTTAACTACAAGAGGTAAGAGATACAATTCTATTTCTCTTAAACAGAAAGCAATAAGAGAAGTAGAGGAATATAAAAATTTAGTGCATTAAGTATTTAAGGAACTTCTGTATCAATGTTGATAGACAATGAGTATAAATGTCAATATATCTCCTATACATATTGCAATAAAGAAGATAATATTCCAAAGATGGTATTTTAAAACTGGATTTGTGTTTGGTGAAAGTTGTTGCTGTTACATGCTGAGTCGAGTAAGACTCCCTGCTCTATCCTGCGTCATCCTCACACTTCCTGACACACAAGAGCCCACTGCAGCAGTCTGTGTCAATCCATCTGGTTGAGAGTCTTACTCTCCTTGGCTGACCCACCACCCTTTCCAGCATCGTGTCACTCTCCAAGAAACAGCCCACTAAGCGACATGCCCTAAGTATGTGAGGCAAAGCTTTATCATTCCTGCCTCCAGAGAACAGTCTGGAATAGGCTGCACCTTATCCAAGACAAATCTATTCTCCTGGCTGATACACAGAGTATTATAGAATTAGGTGGAGACAAATTGAATGAGTAGATAGTGCTAAGACTTAAAGAGCAATTATTGAGGGTGGGGGGAAGAAAAGACATTTTATATCACATAGAGGGAATAGGAAAGGAAGAGTGAGCAAAGGAAGCACAATGAAGCAAAAGGAAACACAGTGACCAGTAAGAGTATAAAAAGGGAATCTGTTTTCCTTTCGATGACCTTGTCCAGAGATTCAGCAGACTTATGAACAAACTCTTACGTGCTCAGTGCCTAATCAACTTGGAGGCTGTATACCACAGAACCTTAGAAAAGGGAAAATGCATTATGTGCAAGCAAGCTCTACCACTCACATCCCTATAGAATTAACAGTCCAGGACGGTCCTCACAACTGATGCTTTACGCCTCTCTAGGAAACTCATTTGAAGTCAATCAATATTGTTTAAAGTAGCCTTTCATGTAATCATTTTATAAATTTATATAATTTAAATTATTATATAAATTGGACACTGATTTCCTATGTGAAAAAACATGCATATAGATCAGCTCTACATCAGCTTTGGCAATATATCTGGGTTTCAGTAGAAAATCAGAAAACAATAGCAAGACACATACAGGATATAAGAGAGCATCTCCTTTCTCATCAGCTTCCTCATATCCAGGCCTTTTGACACTTCACAGAGATACGGGGAATATAGAAAAACGTGTGAAGTTTTGAGTGAATAGTTATTATTAAAACTGTGTGTTTCTTTCATTCTCTTTTGATATTATCACTCATTTTATCCTCCACCTCCTCATACTAACTTGCATAAACACTTTTATCATCTTTCGTTCTCTTTTTAATAGCCTAAATATAAGAAGACTTACCTGGATCACAAATATAGCACTTTGAGCAAACCACTTTGCAGATATCTGGTACATTCCATTTCCTATGATTAAGAGAAGTGCATATATATTTTTGCCGAAGCCCTGCTTCCCCTGGGATGAAACAGAGTATCTTTGAGACCTTGACATTTAAAATTAATAAACACCAGAGAATTCGCTTTTGTAATATCTTTCTTCCTGCACTAAGACTATTTATTGGTGATGGTAGTAGGTGCCTTTGAATCTATTCCAATTCACAGTGACCCTACAAAATCGAGTAGCCATTTTTAAGTCTTCTGATTAGCAGCAAGATATGTTAACAGTGGTCCTAGTCCTAAAAATTATTGTGGTTTTTCAGATGTCACTGAGTTAGTTCTGATTCATAACAACCTTCTGTACAAGAGTATTAAACTCTGTGTGGTCCTGCACCATCTTCATAACTGTTACTATGCTGGAGCCCACTATTACAGGAAATGTGATAATCCATTTTTTTAAGATCTTGTGTTTTTTCTAATGGTCTCTGTCATAGATTGAATTGTGCACCAAACCCCCCTGACATGTATATATAATGATATGATGTGAAAGTCATGTAATGATCTCTTCCACAATCCACTAAACCAAAAGATTGTAGGAGGATTAAGGGTAAAAAGCAACATTTTCTTAGCAAGAGAGCCTGGTAAAGTTGGTGGGGTCAGAGAAAGAGAAGACCTACAACATAATGAATTGACACAGTGATAAGAACACGTCAGAAATTGTAAGGGTGGTGCCGGACAGATTAAGGTTCAATTCTATTGCTCATAGGGTTTCTATGAGTCATAGTTGACTCAATGACATCTAATAACAAGACTGTAAAAGGATAAATTTATTTGTTAAAGCTATCCACTTGTGGCACTCTGTTAAAGCAGCATTAGAAAACTAGGATGCCCTCTAAATTAAACAAGGTAAGACTACAGAACAAGAAGTGTTCATGTCTTTTTCACTTTTACCAAATAAGGTATAATTTTACTAATTATTATAGAAAGTTTGTGCATTCCTCTTTCAAAATTAAATTTCAAAGTTCTTGATTTACTGACCCTGATCCCAGCATATCTTTAATACTTTGTTCAGTCATCTCATCTGTGTGTCTCTAATTTATCTAGAAACTTTTTTAGGTAATTCTAACAAAATACTTGATTTATCATTTGTAAAAACTTCCTGGTTTTTCATGGATTCAATCTCTCATAATCTATTTATTCCTCTTTGTTTTTTTCTGAAATATTCAGTGTCAACAAATTCTTTTTGGTACAATGACTATGTATTCTCTCCATCTTCTTTTAATACTTTTTGGATCATTCAGGATTTTGTCTATATGTGTCTAAGTTTTATCATTCAAATGTCTTCACTAGCCAATGATTTAATGTTTATTTTGTGCTGAAGTAATTATCATATTAATGAGAGAGGATTAGGATGGAGTACATGCCCCATCCTGTTGTTGTTACACGACTCATAGCGACCCTTTGAACAAAAGGCCTGAAGCCTCTCTACAACTATTGACATGTATTAAAGTTCATAGTTTCTGGAGGCATGTGGTTTAGGAAATGGATGCCACTTCTGGTTCTAAACCTGTCATAATATGTTATTGTTGTTATGTGCCATTGAGTAGCCTGTGATGTATGGCGATCCTATGTACAGCAGCTCTGAATCCTTCCCTATCCTGAACCAGTCTCACTATTTACGACATACAA